TTCTAGTAGAACCATAATTTTGTCACTATGGAACTTCTAAGGTTTTCAGGAAAAAACTAGTGATTTTCGCAGGCCTCTTTTAAAACCAACTTTACACCACTATAAGAGTCTTGCAGAGACCAAAACGAATGGTAGTTGAACGGGGCAAGGTTTGGGCTAAACGGCGAATGCATTAAAATTTTCCAACCAAGCTCTCTTAATTTTTGCTGAGTCACTAAAGTTACGTTTGGTCTAGTGTTGTCGTGATGAAAGACAACGCCTTTCTGATTGATCGATTCCAGCCGCTTTTTTTTTCGTTGCATGCTGCAACTGCATTAAATGGTGATAGAAGAGAGTCAAATTAATTGTTTTACCAGGTTTTAGCAGCTCATGATGAACAATTCCTTTTCAGTTCCACTAAACACTCAGCAACACCTTTCTTGCCGTCAATATAGGCTTTGCGCCCGTCTGTAAAGTTTTTTGTGGCTCCGACCACGACCTTTTTTTGCAGAGAGATATCCTACATAATCTACTTTTAATTACTCGTAAGTCTTCGTTTCAAAAATAGCTTGAGTTCATTACGTTTGAGCAGTATTTCACAAATGAAAACTTCGTTCATTTAATTTTTCTCTGTTAATTCATGTAGAATTTAAGTATTGAGCTGATTTCTTTAAAAATTTTATTAACTATTTTAATAATTGGCTGACCAGAGTAAAGTTCCTCTCTAGCATAGAAATTTTCAGAACAAAAACGAAAAAACTGTTTGATTCTGGCGTTTACTTAAACGCCCATTACCATAAGCAATTCACAGTTTTTGATGAGCCTGTGCTACATTTTTCCATGTTCGGAAGTAAAAAAGCAAAATATGACAAAAATTACCTTCTGGAATCCCCAAGCGCAATAACTTTCGTCTGAATATACGAATGGCACTTATATTTTATCTATAATATTATATGGACTGTACCCTTCATAGTATGCTTTTATTGAATGAGTATTACTAGCAGTATGTGACTTAAACGCGATCTATTAGGAAAAACTGAAATCATATTTCTTGTAACCCAATATTTTCTACTTTTCCTACTTTTCTCACCAAGTGTAATTCACAGGACAAAGAGTGAGGCAGAGAGAAAGAGACACTGTACACACTTAAAAGAAAACTAACCAGTCAAGCAAGTTGGCTGCCGTTATGTTTCACATAAGACGCCAATAAGGCCAAAAAGACGACTAGTTTTTGTACACAGGTGCTGAATTCAATTTATGTGTCTGCTGCTAGTTCTCGCTAAATTGAAGGGAAAAAAGTGACTTTTAGTCGTAAAAACAAATAGCTGATAGTTGAAATCACTAACTTAGTAATGAGCATCAACAATATATATCTTGGAAACAGATTTTAAACAATATTAAAAATAGAAAAGCATAAACGTGTGTTACATTTCCTTTCATTCACACTGCTTCAAGCGTGCAAGATTTCGATGAGTTTGAATAAAGCTTTTTATATGAGATTCTCAAAACAAAAGTTGTTGATGTGCTCTCGTTTCCATTTTAGATCAACATGGTAATTATTATTATTTCTCAGGTAAGGATTTTATTAAAGAGTCTTTCTGATGCCGTTGCCTGATTACTGAAAATGATAATGAAGCTTAATTTGAATTCAGGACATAAAAGTAGTTGCCCGACTCTAGCACGAATAACATTGGCTTGGCACTAGTATGCACTCTACTGAAGGAGGTAACGTAATTTTTCCTGGAATAATATAAGGAAATACACGTCTAATTCTACGTGGAAGATTATGTGTGATGTCATGAAGAAAACCATGTAGGTGGATAGTAAGAAAATTATTTGTATTATGCCACATGGCATTCCACATTAGTTCACAGGTGTAACTGCACATGTCCTTACACATAGTTTTACAAAAAAACTTGAAAAACAAATAAAATAAAAACAGTATTATAATCTCTCCACACGGTTATTAGTGTTGGTAAGGATAAAATCGGTGTAGGCAAAACATATTTGTCTGTTAGTGTAATTAATACAAATTTTGAATTAAAAAAAGGAGTTATTATTTAAAAAGCGTTCGTAAGTACAAATATGTGCAATAAAGTAACAATAAATCTGGAATAGTACAAAACATAAAAAGTAATAGACATAGTGGGAATAAAATAATATGTTTCTACACAAACACAAATTTCAACTGCTATAAATTTCTTGCTAAAAAATAGGATGAAATACATAGAGTCACTTATCTAGCTTGATCTGTTACCAATGTAACATATTGTTATTTCTTTGTTTAATCAATTAAAAAGATTGATATTCGTATAGACAGTTCATCAAACAGTTGCGCGTAGTTGTTGTCTGATCGCACAATTTTTTCCCAAGAAAGAAAAAAGACGGCCCTGTTTAATTGCTCTTTTATACCTTTATGCAAATCCAACAGGTTATAAGATAAAAGATGTATAACACATTGTGGAAGTGTTATCTAAAGCAACTACGAGCGTAATCCAGGAGAAGAGTAAAAATAAAAAAGGTACAAAAGTGGTACTGCCAGTAAGAAAAATGGCGGACAAATCAGTTGAGGAAGGAGCAGAGAACAAAGGAAAGTCAATGGCGACAGAGGAGAAAGAGAAAAGAGGCAGGGGCCGTCTAAGAAAAGACGTAGTGAAAAAGAAAGAGTCCGAGGAAAGGAGTAATATGTTAAACTTTTTAAAGTGCGAAGGTACAAGATTTGAAGTAGCAGTGAGTGGAAAAGAGGGTAGAACACTTACCAGTGGAAAAAGATGTGAGAGGGGACACAAAAACGCAGGAAAATCCTTAGCAAAGCGAATTAGAGAAGAAGGACAAAAAAGGTGAAAAATCAACGGTGTCAAGTGCAGGACAGAAAGGCAAAGAGGACAGGAAGGAAAGATAAGCTGTCACAGGCAAAAAGAAATAAAGATAAACTAAGAGAAGCGGTGCAAGTAGATAAAAGAACTGGATTACTGACAGTAAGAGGACAGATGGTACAGAAGTTTACTTGTGTAACAGATCAGGACTCGGTAATATTGAAAACGTCCAAAACCAATTCGACCATAGATCTACAGAAGGCAGCAGAAGGAATAACAGAAGGCTAACTAAAAAGTCGTAAACGAGGCGGGGGGAAGTGTAAGGAGGGACAAATGACAAAGAACGTGAGATAGGTATCAAGTAGTCGAGCGTTCCGAGTGTTCCAAGTGCACAGAAAGTAAGTAACGATGAACAGATATGCGAGAGCGGCGAATTATCAGGAGATTAAGGAGTGCAGGAGCCAAATAGACCAGATGCACTAGCGTGATCCAAACTGATGTATGAGTTAATAAAGAGATGAAAAAGGAAACATAGTATCGTCATAAAGAAAATTAGAACAGTTGGTGAAGGTATAGAGGGTAAATTAAAAAGTATAACGCGAAGAAATTTGAATGTTTAAGCGGAAGTCAGTTGAACTAGGGCAATAGAAGGTGTACTAGTAATTGGCTTAGGATCAATGAAAAATAAGCACTAATTGTAGAGATTATGGGTAGACTAAAAGTAAGTGATATATGAATTGAGGATCATTATACGGAGAGAGAGAAAGAGGTACAGAAATGGATTAGGGAAGTGACCAGAAAGGAGATAAAAGAAGGGAGGGAAATTCAAGTGGGGTATTAAAAAATAAGAATTCAAGAGATTTGGTGGGATTGGGATAAGGTGAAGGAAGTGCCAGTAAAACGCGAGAAAAAAAATGCAACCATTTTGTGAAAAAAGGAGGGGTAAAGATAAGTGAGATTTTTCACTGATATTTTGGAACATAATATGTATAAAGAAAATTATTTTATTAAAAAAGTACTTGTACAAGTTTGATATAATAGCGCTTCAAGAAACATGGATGGAGAAATGCAATGAGTCAGGATGGTTGGGTAGACTAGATAAAAGTTATGAGTGAAAAGCGTGCGCAGCCATAAGGGATCATAGAAAAGGGAGGGCAAAAGGAGGAGTCTTGGTGGAAATTAAAAAGTCTATTAGAAAGATAAGAATCAGAGAATCGGTGTATGAAAAAGTGATTTCAGATATTATTATAAGAAGTGATAACAAACTTTGTTTAATATTTATTTACTGTAATGTGAATATTGATGTACTGATAGCTAAATTAAAATAGGTAGTGGAAGAGGTAATAGCAAGGGGCGAGCAAGTAATAATAGCAGGAGACTTAAATGCGTGTGTAGGGAAGTGGCAAATAAACTACAAGGAGAAAATGGAGGGAAGTAGGATTTATCGCGATAGTGTAACCAACAGAGAGGGAACAAACTACTAGATATGTTCGAGGAGATGGGATTGATAATAAGAAATGTAGCAACTGAAGGGGACTGGTGGGGGAGATAACGTTTATGGGGGGGTGGAGGTAGTTCAGTGCTTGATCTAGTACTGGAGCTTGAAAGTGAACAAGGTAGATAAGGGAATTGAGAGTGGGCATAAAGATGGAGTCGGATCACCTCCCAATAGAGGCCAAATGGGGAGAAGTGAGGGAAAAGCAGGAGACTGGGAAAAAAGGGGACGATACAAAAAGGTTAAAATGGGATAATAGAAAAAACGGAAATAAAATTTTCAATGGGGGGGAGGACTTCGAGATCAGGGGTAAAAGCGTGCAACAAGTATGGGACTAGATGGTCAACGAAATTTGGGAAACGAAGGGAAAGCTAGGGATGGTGAAAAAGGGCTTTAGTAAAAATTATGGCTGGTCAGTAGAGTGGGATAAGGAGGTTAAGAATCAAAAAAGAAAGGTCTGGAGGGCTTTAAAAGAGTGGGTGAAATCTAAAGAGGATAAGGATAAGGAGGAGTTAATAAGAGAGAGGAGATTGATCAGGAAGTTAAGAAAGAGAAAGGTAGAAGAGGAGAATCAAAGGAGATGGAAATTAGTGAAAGATAAAGTTCTGGGAAGCAATAGCTCAATTCAGCCCTAGGAGAAAAAATAGAGGGGGAAACATAAGAAAGGAAAAAAGGGTTAGACATTTCAAAGAGATCTTAGGAACTAATAAATGGAGCAGAGAACAGGAGATAAAGAACGGGAGAGGAGGAACGACCCAGAGGAATGGGAAGAATTAAACATAGAGATAAGCGAACTGGAGGTGACTAAGACGTTAAGAAAAATAAAAAATAAGAAAGCAACGAGAAAGAATGGGATAAGTGCAGAATTTTTTAAAGAATCACCGGAATCATGGAAATTAACATGGGTGTTGAATACGGTTTTTGAAGAAGCAGTAATGATTAAGAGATAGGAGACAGCAAGAATTTTCCCAATTTATAAGACGGGAGATAAAGAGGAGACTAAAAACTACAGGGGGGTATCGCTATTGGAGATTGGGTATAAAATATTGACAAATATCTTGGCGAGTAGATTAAATGGGAGCCTAGAAACACGGGATATAATTAATAGGAGTCAAGCAGGATTTAGAATTAGGAGAAGTAGAAGGGATCACGTATTTATATTCAATAGCATCATAAATAATAATTTAAAGATAGAAAAGGAGAAGGTGTTTGTGTGCTTGACAGATTTTAAAATGGCTTCCGATAGGATAGATAGGAGAATATTGTTTGAGAAAATGAGAAAATTAGGTATTAAGATAAGTTCCTGGAGATAGTTAAAAGCATTAACAGTAAAACAAAGAATGAAGTTATTACAAATGATGGGATTTTGGAAAAGTTCGAGACAAAGATAGGCGTAAAGCAAGAATGTCCCTTGAGTCCAGTTCTGTTTAATTTACATTAATGATATCGAAGATAAGTGGAAGGAAGAAAATTAGGGAGCAGTTGTCATCGGGAGGAGGACGAATTTTGAGTTAATAATTTGCAGATGATGTAGCTGTGGTGGTTAGGTGTAAGGAGGGCTTACAAAGCATGCCGAATGATGTGCAAAAGTGTGAAGAAACAAATAAGATTAAAGTAAACATGGAGAAAACAAAGGTAACGATACTTAGAAAAGGGGGCAGGGTGAAAAAAATTAAAAGCTTTGATTCAGAGAGAAAATGATACAGATTGTCAATCAATATGAATACCTTGGGTTTTAGTTCTCTTCTTTATGTCTTCTTAAGTCTTACATTGTTTTGTATGCATAAAAAAAAGCGAATCGACCTTGTTTGTACATTTCGTAAAAACAGCCGATTAATTCAATTTTTTCGAAGATAAGAAAGTTAAGACAATCAAACTAATGTTACAAATGTTTGATTTTCTTCATGATTTCCGCTAACAAATTGTGAGAAGTCAATTAGAAAATTGATACACAAAATTGAAATAGTGTTTTTGAAAGATTCGTTAACAACTGTCTCATTTAATACTTTTTTTTACAGACCTTTTTTTTAATTTAAACAATCTCATCTTTTACGTATACACATTGTACGTATTTATTTAAAATCACTCTTCTTCACCGAAACGTAGCTTCTATTTTTAGGGGCACGTTTAAAGTCTCGTAACAAAGTAATAGTGGTATAGTCAATGATGAATTCGGACATAGCAGTTATAAATTATTAATTTTTTGACACTTTCCAAGTATGTAAGAAATGATAGTTTTCGTACCTGATGGCGCATGTCGCCACGGCAAGCACCAGGTCAGAGGGACCTGCTAAGCAGAGCTCAAGGGATTCCTTGTGATGGCCCTGGTTAGATGTGTATCAGGTGCGAATCCTAATTTTCTACTGAGGGCGCACTAAATGTCTAAATTTTAAAAAAAGCGCCCAAAGTAGGAGATAGTATATTTTTACCTAGGGCAAAAAGTAAAACTTGGGCGCCTGAAGGGTGCGGTAGTTAAACTTTTGTGTCCGAGGTGAGAACGACATTTTTTGTACCGAGAGCGGAAAGTTTAACTACGTGCCCGTATGTACACTTTTCGCCTACTAATTACTTTTCTACTTAGGGTGGGAACAAACCTTAGACCCAGCAGTTTTTGTAAGACTTTTAGATAACATTACATCGATAGTATACACATTATATTTTAGCTATCATAAACCTATATTAATTTTTTCAATTAGATGTTCATACAAATACACATGAGTGTTCGACTATAGTTAAAACCAGTCAAAATGCGGATCAAGAAAGAGCCAAAGTACTCCAAACAGTGCCAAACGTACTCTATAGTTATTCTTACAATACTAAAAAAACAATTTTATTATTTATCAGTTGATATTAGAATATACACTTATACTAATTATGTCTATACTTTGTATATACTGCTATACTCTGTCGGGAATTAATACTTTTTTTTACCTATATTTATTTTGTTCATTTTTTTTTAATTTTAATGACTTTTTATTTTATTATTATTTATTTTCTTTTAGCAAATAATGTATACTTACATATTTGACATTTAATTGTTAAATATTTGTCCCAGAAATATATGTGTGTAGGGGTGTGTAGGTGGGTTAGTGTGTGGGCGCTTGCGTATGCTTTGGCATGTATATCTATGTGTGTATCTACGGATATTATTGGTACAATTAATGTCGGATGATACTTAGCTGCCCCATATATATGAGGCAGCTTCGCTTTTGTCAGGGGTCCCGAAATTTCTCACACTTGGTTTTTGTTTTAAGAGATTTTAATTATACCGTCAAGAACCGTAGGAAAATAGTTAAAAACATCTTAAGGTGAAATTATGTACACTATTCAATATTGCCTTATCAAAATAGACTAAGAAACTCACTCCAGAATGATATTATAAGTTCTTACAACATAACCGTATTAAATAAACGTTTATTAAACTTTTTCAGCAGTGATACATGCCATTCCAGTAGTGCTGCAAGTTAATAGTAATTAGAGTTCTGCTTTGTTTCGTATGATTTTTAAAGGGCGAATTCTTTATACATTCTTTTATAAATAAGTAATTATTTAATTTAAGTAAATTTTCATATGGATCCAGAAAGATACATTTATAATCGAAATAAACTATCTGGACACTCCAGGTTAATGACTATTTTATCCTAATAAAATTTACTGTCAGTTTCATGAATTATTTACCTAACCCACAGTGATTGTTCAGACCGTCTAGGTGAATATTTTATCTAATTTCAGTTGATTTCCAGGTCAACCGTGAGGATCATATACCTTGACCACGTGAACATTCTGAAGATTCTGAAGTGGATTTCTATATAATCATTTTAGATTTTGTGGTCAACCTTAATCATTGACCTGATCCATGTTTTATTTTAATAGTATGTCCTGTCTACCTTATCCAGCTAGAATTTTCTTAATAATCTGTGCTTATATAGCCAAAAATCTGGCTAAGAATAAACGATCCACCTGTTCGTCTACCTGGACAGAAAAGCAAACGTGAACCTAAAAATCCACCTCGATGTTGTATCAAAATTCAATTTAAAAATTGTATGTGTAGGTAGTTGCGCCTATTTATAGAGCTAGACGTAAAGCACTGTAATATTGTATTCATCTTCATACATAACATGATTCTTTGGCCGGACACCCCCCCCACCCCGGGTTTTTTTGCCCTGTGCCCCAAAATAAAAAAAAAATTCTTTGGTTTTCTCCCTTATTTGTGTAGACTTCATTTATTTTTAAGACCCCTACATCCCCTTCACTGCCCCTCGTACCCTCTATCATGATGTATCCTTAATAAATAAAAGTTTTCCTCACTTTTCTGACTCCGACAATTAACATTCAGTATTTCCAAAGTCTTATCTAAATGAATAAAGGTCTAGGTAAGCTTTCAATTGAAAAATAATTCCTTTTAGTTGTAAAACAATCCAAATTTTATCTTTTTCTTTTAAGTTCCTTTAAGCTAAATAAATTTCGGTTATACTTATATATTGTGAACAAATTAAAACATTATTGTTACAATTATTGTTTTCCAGACATTTAAAAACTTTTTTCTATGATTTTCATAAGTATAAAGGTAAGGCACGTTGACCTTTTTCCATATCATGCTTACTTTCATATCAAATTATTAAATAAATAAATTTAATTATATGAAATGTGAGATTAGGCTTTGAAATATAAGCTTAACATTACAACAGAATAATAATAACCATTGTAGTCATAACCAATAGTTCTAGGCATCCGTGAAGTAACAAGTATCCCTATTCCCATTGAAAAAAAAAATTAAATGTATTATAAGATCGATACTATTGTATTCTTCTAGTCAAGAGTTCATTTGTCACTCACCTTACACAAATAAAATAAAATTGTTAAAAATATGAATATTCAAGAAATAATTCTTAAATTTTAAAAACTACAGTTTTATGAGAAAAATACCTAATTAATACACAAATTAATAAATTAGTTTTCTTCACGTATAAAAATAAATCCAATAAAAATAAGTGTTATTAAGAAAATTTATAAAAAAATTTTATAAAACATTAATTAAACAACACTAATAACGAACGTAAAATTTTTGAAAAATTTTTTGAACAAACTAAACAATTAAGGGATATTTATTTACTATGCCATGTAATTATACGTATGTAATGATACGTTTTGCACGTCGAATAAACTTTTTTAAATTGATTATCAAATACATTTTTTACCCTGAACCATGAATTAGTACTTTTATTCAGTATTGCAAACTGCTTGATTGTCTTTCCTTCAAAATCTTTGAAACAAGCAGTTTTGCGTAGTTTTTTATCGTTTTGCACGTCAAACAATTTATAAAATAATAGTGATCTTAAAAGTAAACACATTTTTTGTTATTTTAAAATAATAAATCTTGTGATGCTTATTTACACTCCATAAAAAAGATGTTTCGAAGCTTAAGGATTAGTTGAATCCTTAGCCGTATGAATAAATCAACTAATCTTGAAAAGCTACTTAATGTTAACTACACTACAGAGTTCTGAAAGAATTAAAAGAAGCGAGTGATATAGAGATAGAAGCTGATGTATGTGTATCGCGTTTGGCGAGTCTCCCGACAATTGGTAGATTCTGACTACATGTGGTACATTTGTGGCCAGTGTATAAAGAATTACACTTGTATACGTTTAAATTTAAAGATCTATACAACGATAATAATCATATAAAAAAAATTTTATTAAAGCGTGAACAATTTTTTAAGGAAACTTAAGATTCACTGATAAAAAGGAAAATCAAATGAGAATAAAAAAGAAGCAGTGAATCCAAAATACATTAGCAC